TGGCTTTGCTTGTGACTGCTATGTTACGCATGAGTAAACCTCTTTTGTGAACCACATGTGTCACGGGAGTTTCTCTGTCCAACGGGGCAAACCTTATACTCCCCTCCCCTCCCCTCTCCCCTTCCCCTTCCCCTTCCCCTTCCCCTTCCCCTTCCCTTTCCCTTTCCCTATATAGGAGATAGTGGATTCATCAGTGCCATAATGCAGTACAACAGATGCCATGCTGTCCTCAACAAGTCAGCATGTCCAACAGTTTCACCTCTCATTCAAGGGCAACACTTTGCATGAACATTTATAACTTCCCTCAGCAAAGCTCTCTTCTCTGGGTTGCTTATTTTTACAGTGGAGGAAGTAACATGCAGGAAGACAGCAAACTGGAATGCTACAGATTGCTGGATAACTGAAAAATTAGAGGGAGTTATACTTCTACAAAATCACAGATAGATCAGAACAATGGGCAAAAACTGCAGATATGTGAAATTGTTTAACAAAGATTTTAAAAGTTACTTCCTGTGTTTATCATCTATAATACAGAAACCATACATAACAAGATTGTGGATAATGAGGGGTGTCTGTATGTATTTATATCATGCATATATGGTGAAAGAACATTGGGAGAGATAGAATGGTGGGATTCCCTTCTATATAGACTCAATACAGTTTTTTCTTTAAAGTTGATTTTCTTCCCTTATCCTTTTCTATTTCATTTGGGTCATGAAAGGAACAAGGGTAGCTTTAGTTTGCACTTTAATGTTACAATTTTGTGGGGTGGGGGGTAATTAACATTTTAAATATTCTATAGTTTTGATTTGATCTGAAATATTGAAAAAGTTTTCATAACTTGTTTGGAGTTTGGATAAATTTCCTAGGTGCTTATGCTCTGTCACTTGTAATTACATAGTAATAGATTCATTTTGTAGTGGTCAAGAACAAGAGAAATTAAGCATACTTACATCATTTGGAATAGTAAGCTCATGGGAACTGGTTGGAGCACTGGTATCTAATCCTAGATTAGAAGAATAAAAGAAAATAGCATTAATAATAGCCTTGTTGATCGAAAGAAAAACATAATGCATGGTATTTAGAAGATCTTTTTCAAAAAGTAAAGAAAAGAAAAATATTAAATGGCATTTTACCAAAGAAGAAAGCTAGATGCCCACTATGCATTAACTGGGATTTTTAATTTAAAAAGACTTCATATTACCAGTATAATGAAACTTTATCTGTACTGCTATTCAAAGGTGATAGAGAATAGGGTTTCAGTTAACTACATAATATAATCTGAATCTGAACACTCGATTGTTAAATTTGCTCTGGCATGAAATAATGAAGGAAGGAAGGAAGGAAGGAAGGAAGGAAGGAAGGAAGGAAGGAAGGAAGGAAGGATTGGGAATTGGGAAAAGATATTATACTCTTATAATGTGGATTAACTTTTGCAAAAAGACTGTTGTAAAGGAAAAAAAAATACAAAATATGAGCAATATTGTAATACATTTGCTTAGGACATTTAATAGTTTAGGAAATGTTTGTACAAAATTTCAAATCTCCATCTTCATCATCAGTAATGGGAAAGTAATGACAAATAAAATAAGGAAAATAATGTAATGCTTACTGATTTTTTATGAAATACACTATATTTATGTCAAATTATTTTGTTTGTCTTAACTTTTGCAGATAATGCTTCAAAAGATTTATAGGCTTAATTGGTTCTTTTAGTATTACAAGGACATTTCTATATACTTAATAATAACTAAATTGAATTGTACTCTTTAATAACTTTTATGTTACTGGATTTGTTGAATAGAGCACACTTAATTCAATATCCTACAAAACCTATGATGAATGTGATAAAGATACTAGCATTTTTCATACAAGGAATGTACTAAAGCTAACCTCTATTTTCATACTATATTTTTATAGTTCCATTGAAACAAATTCCATTCCATTGCTTAATTATTAATGCAGAAGAAGGTACTGCAGCTAATACAGTAACATAACATTTAATAAGATCTGAAGTAATTAACCTTGAATGTTACTACTCTCTGTCATGAATCAACACTGCAGAATGCTTGTGAGAAGCAATACCAAGGAGGAGGGAACAAAACAGGGATGCAGCCTAAGCTCACCCTTTCTTTTTTAAAATCAATTATCTAGTGGGCAGTTGAGACAAAGTTAAAAATCTCCCTCCAGCTAAAAAATAATTACATAATAGTCATGTTACTGATGACTATTGCTGATGCAGTTATTTATTACCAATTCCAATATGGTTAAGGAACTTGATAAGGGCCTTGGTTTCTGTTATAAAGAGCATTTACTAAAGATTAATTATAATACAACTAAGAATGGTCTTTACAAAAAGTTTCAAAAAGCTAACATGGAGCATTATTAGATATAAGACTGAGCAGGTGGCATATTTTAAATATTTAAAATACTGAAAATATTCCAAGGCACAGTTAAATGTAAAGCTTATCGTATCTTTTAAACTTTAGCTTATCTTTTGCAAAATGCTCAAAGGAGTATATTAACTTTATTTCTTTTTTAAACTAGAGGATCTGAATACATGTGTGCTGCTGTTAAGTTATTTCAGACCAAGACACTAATGTATCTCCTCTAAGGACTTAAGCCCATTTATTAATTTTGGTGTTTGACAAGTTTTGAGGAAGTTGTCCCACTGTCCCATTGTGTTCCATGCTGCATTTTACTACAGCCTAGATGTGAGACAAGAGGATGGATCACCATCTTTAATTATTGATTGAAGCTAACATTTTGTCCACAGGGTTTGATGGACAATTATCAGTCACCCTGGAAGTGGGGAGTAAAGTTGAGCTGGGAAATCAATCAAAATAGCTTTAAACTGGCTAGTACCTTGATCAATTTATTGTGCCTTCATGCTACTCCACTTTCAGCATCTTATTCTGTACATTGCTAAAGGATGGATTCAAGAAAATTCCCTAACCTATATTATTATTGTATTATTTCTTATGAATCTCCCCTTGTAGATTTGAACAGCTGACCTGTGGGCTTATGTTTTACTATATTGTTATTTGTACAGAGATTTGCACAAGACAGTGCTCTTCATTCAAACTTTCCCTTGGCTGCCATTTGAACTTAATATCCATTATTTCTTGCTTGATCGGAACTCAAAAACATTTAATGTAGCCACATTTTCTGTGACGGCTTACACAATTTGAAAACATCTTTAAAAAGGATCCACAGGGGAGGAAAATACAACATTTAGTGATCCAAATGTTGCAATGACCATGGAAAATAAAGCTGCAAAGAAGGACATCTCTAGAGACTCATGGTTACGTACCAGGGAAGCCAGGAGTGTTCTGCCCAAGGGGAGTAAAGGGGGGATGCTGCATAGCCAACTGATGAAGCTTGGTCAGCTGCAGGCAGGATGGGAAATTAGAACTCACATTAAATGGTGTTATTTTAGAGTAGTGAAAACCATATTAATATACTTCACAACTGGATTAATTAAAATTTAAAAAACTTTTAAATTATTTATTATTTTCAACAACATAGAAAAGATTATGTTAATATAGCATTGGTATTGTTACATGTTGCATACTATTTTTTGTTCTGCATTTCAATGTTTAAAATAGAAAACAATAGTAATAATAACAGAAGATGGAGGAGGAGAAGGGGGAGGAGGAAGAGGAGGAGGTGGAACAACAATGGCCACTGTACTTCCTAGTAGTTCTTTGTCTGATGTATGTTTCCTTAACACTTAAACAGTTGAAAAGCAAATGCTGTTCAGGACAAATACAAGATAGGATGCACTTCACATGCACTTGACTCACATCTGGATGAGGGATGGCATATTGTCCCTGAATTGTGAATGCCTATAAATGACAAAGACATATTATAATTTCTTAACAGCCACCTCTTCAGATTACAACCACAAAGTGCACAGGGTAATTCCAATGAAACATAACCTAAAAACATTAGACTGCCTAGCTCTTGGACATGCCTAATGAGATTTTAAATATTTTTCCCTGAACAACACATTATTTTATCATACTTCTGAAAATCTTCTTAGTTTAAGAGTAGACTATCATGCAAACAGGGTAGGGGAGAGACATGTAGAAACTCAAATACAAACCCTTGTCTCTTCACATGAACCTAGGTGTTACCTGGTTCATTACATCTCAGTCACAAGTGATCCAATGGCATTCCAAACTGCCATTCAAGCAAAAGGAAATTGAAACTCCCATTAATTCATATGATAAACATATCAGAAACTACCCAAGGAAATTTTATGTTTAAAGTGTAAAATAAAAAGCTATCAGGGAGGGGTACTTAAGGTGGATCCTTTTGTTTTATAACCCCTGACAAATTAGGTTAGCAATATTCTCTATGGGTTTTTAAAAAAAAAAGTTTCAAAATCTCCTATTTTCATCTCATGGCAAGGATGGAAATTTTGTTTTGGCCAGATGATTGAATTCTCTCCAGACACACATGCTCTATTTGATTCACACAAGCATATGCTTCCTTTTTTCACTTATTTGTGCTCTCCTTACATCCCACCCATCTGCATATGTTCTACTTGTTCACTCATTGTTCATACATACATTTGCTTGGCTCCCCTACTGACCCACACTTGTTCCACTTACATGTGGTCTGTTTACCCATCCACACATGCTGAATCCACTCACCTGTGTACTCTGTACACCTGCAAATCCTGTTCATCCTGCTTACAATATTCTGGTTTCACATGACACAAGCACACAGTCTGCTCACAAACACACACACCTCTCAGTTCATGTATATATATGAACTTTCTATTCACTATCTGAAGATTTCCAAGCTACCAGTGTTTTCATATAAAAACCACTATAAAATCCATCCAGGCTTTTTTTAGATTGTGTTCATTACCTGCAAATCTATTCTGGTATTAAAATCCTATGATTATGATTGCATCTATGTTTCCAGATCTGGAGCACAAAAAGAACATTGTTTATCCTTTCTTCCAAGACAGCCAATAGCTAAGAGTTTTATTTGACCTTTTTGGGCTCTGTTGGGCCAGTGAATAAAAACAATCCTTTCACCACCACCACCCACAGCAAGAAAAGTTTCTAACATTGCCTCTCCAAACGCATACAGTGATTGATTGATGATTGATTGATTAGGTGCATCAAATAATTTTCAACTCTTAGTGACCACATAGATTTTCTCAATGACAATCTGTCCCTAACCTTGTCTTTTAGATCTTCCAGTGGTGCATAGAAAGACTCCCCCCCCCCAGTTGTTTGGTTGTTTTCAAAAATGCAGTTCCAAGAAATTACTATGCATTATTTACAACTAACCTTCCTTGACATCCTTTTCTCCCAAATTCAAATGCAAATCTGTGTCCATGGCAACATCATAATTACTGTTTTACCAAAGTTCATGTGTCAAACATTATCTTCAACAGGAAAACAAAATTAATAAAGTTATTTAAAAAAGGAGAGATCTATCCAGCTGGATTTTGGATATGGAATCAGGCATGACTCCTTGGCATGGAAGGTGGAATGGAAATGTGTAATGCAAGGTCCTGATAGTTACAAGAAAAACTGTTCCACAAATGTGAGACTGTATTTGTGAGGTTGGACCTACATGAGAAGCTGAGAATACTGCTATTGTACTGTCCTCCCCCTGTGGAGAGCAGCAAGCCTACTTGAGCTACTTAATCTCATTGCAGAAGAAGTTACAGATTCCTGGTTGATTCTAATCTACCCTCCCTGTTGGAAGTGGCTGAAAAATTCATGGCCACCATGACAACCAGAATGGACCTACCTAGCCTTTACACTGGAGCAGATGAGATACGACTTGGTGTTGGGGGATATTTCCATCAGTCCTTCATTCCAACTGGATTGTGAAATGGTCTGTGAGAATGTCTTTGAGAAACAGGAGGAGGAAGAGAAGCCACAGACTAGGCAGTGGTCAGATAAGAGGCAGCTGAGTCCACAGAAAGATTGAGGGCATGGCAAACATCTCAGAAGGGACCCTCCCTAGTTTCTTAGGCTATAAAGGTGATGGGAGAGAAATGTACTTTCAGACTTGCAAGATTCTGTTACTGTAACCTTACAGTAAAGGTAGTTTTAGTACTCATGGTTGGTGTTTCTTGTCTGGACTACCTTGTAGGGTTGACAGGTTGACTGGCACCACTAACCTCTCTATGGTGGTTCTACTCCTACCTGACTGGAAAGTTTCAGTTGGTTGTCATGTGGAGGACAGGTTGGGCCTTTGGGTGCTCTATTGGATCCCTCAATATTCAGCCATCTCCCTTATCTTGTTTAACATCTGCATGAAACCACTAGGAGAGGTATCAGCTGGTTTGGAGTGAGTTATGATCAGTATGCAAATTATATCCAGTTATATATTTCCAACTCTGGGCCAAATTGGTGTGTGTGTGCGCGTGCGTGTGTATGCGCGCACGCATGTGCATGCAGCAGAAGTCCAGATGCAGTATTTGAATGCTGTCAGCAACTGGACAGGGAGGAACAGGCTCAGACTCAACCCTAGCTTGACAAAATGGCTATTCATTCAAAAGCCTGATAAATCTGAGATTATGCCATTTTAAACTCTTGATGGGGTGGTGGTTGCCCATGGAGAGCAGACTCACAACCTCAGAGTCCTCGTGGAATTCTGGTTCCTACTGTGCATTGATTTCAACTTTACCTAGAACAAGTGGCACTGAAGATGGTCACTTCCCTCCAGTTTTGTCATTTCCTATATGGATTACTGTAATTTGCTTTATGTGAGGCTACCCTTGAAGAGTACCTGACATAAAGTGCAGCAGCCTGTATGCTTTCTGGTCAATCCTGTTGCTGCCATGTAATACCACTGCTTCAGGAGCTGCACTGGCTACTGATACGTTTCTGTGTGCAATTCAAGGTGCTGGTCATCACCTACAATGCTCTATATAAAGTAGCTCAGGGCCTGCGGATTTTCAAGACAACCTGTTCTGTATAGATTCTGCCCACCCAATCCAAGCAAACATGATTGCTGAAAGCCCCATATATAGGGAAGTGTAATGGGGAAACCCAGAAGCAGGCACTCCCTGTAGGGGCGTCTCTCTTTTAGAACAGCTGGCCCTCTGAGGCAAGGTTAGCTCCCACTCTCATGGCCTTCCAAAACATCATAAAAACTTGGCTATTCTGGAAAGCCTTTGAAACTTGAGTGCTGTAGAGCTCCTAGTTCCACACTTGATCAAAATCCCACCAAACTGAATTGAATTCAATATTAATTCTAAATATTCCTACCCTGAATCCAACCCATTTTTTAAAAGATAGAATCTTGAATTGCAGAGTTTGAATCTTCCTTCTTTGAACAGTCAGGTTTGACTATTATTTTCTTCCTTTTAGTGAATTTAATTGATTTGATTTGGTTACTGTTTATTTAATTAATGTAGTCCAAAGGTTAGATGTGGTCGCAGAATGAAAGACACATTACATGCTGTAATGCAATAGTATGACTGATACCTAAGTTCATTTTGATTTAAGTATTATTTCAATCCCGTTTTACTCTCAATTATTTTTGCCATGGCACAAAAATAAAAGCAACCACTTAGTGGATTCTACTGGCAAAATAATTTATGTTTTAGTCCAATATTAAATATATTAATAGTTCCTATTATGTTCTCTTAAGCATACATTGAAATTAACTTCAGACATTACCTCCCCATATAAAAGAAGACATCACCCTGCTGTTTTCTCTAAGAAAGTTGTGTCTGAACTGCATTCTTCAAAACGTCTATCCAAGTATTCTGCATCTTCCATAGTCTCCCATAGTGTGAATGTCAACTTTCTGGTCTGAATTATTAACGTGAATATATGATAACGATCTCACTATAAAGGCCACTTTTCAAAGCTCCTACATGCAATGAAATTAACGGTTTAGGGTAACAGGTAGAAAACCTGTATGGTACGAATATTCTCAGTTCCTGATTGTTTTTAGGGAGGAGCTTGAAGATGCAAAGAACTTAGATGGCAGCACTATAACTCTAGTAGTATTTGGAATAATAATTATATTGATATTTTTAGAAAAAAACAATTAGTACTGTACCAGACAAAAAAGAAGTAAAAGTTGAAAACTAACAGGCGTTGTCTGAGGTTGGGCCAGGATGGTGTGGTTTCCAGCTGAAGCCAAAATGGTGTCTGCTCTTACCTGGCCACCAGCAAAGATTATGGGTGCAGGGGCAGGTTTGGGACGGTAAGGAATTGTGGCACCTTTGGGTGGAGACTAAAAATAAAAACATCAAGCAGTAAGAAAGAGAAATTAAACATATATAAAAAGTTGTTTGTTTACTTGCTTGTAAATTACTATTTGGAGACTTTTTTATATTCATAGACCAATAGTCTTGACACCAGAACCTAACTCATTTATTTAGATCTTTTCCAAGGTCTACAAACAGTTCAATCTCCATTGTCACCAACACCCTAGATAAATTAAGCCACACCTGAGTGATTCCCCTTGCCAGTGCAAAGAGCAGGTAACATTTTCCATTATATTGCCTGAATCATGCCATTAGAAGCTGATACCAGGCCAGTGAAAATTATCTGACGAAGTAAGTGATTTGCACAAACCATCTGCTTAAGCAAATATACTTTATAGTCTTCCAGCAAATGCAGTCATGATAGTTGGGTGAGAGGAGATCCCTACTGTTCATAAAGTATTATAGGCAGGGGCCTGCAACTGCAAACAATGTTGGCCTAACTATGTGCCAAGGGCACTGTATTTGTGAGTGGGGGAAGGCTGTTGAAAGGCAGTAACTCATTTTAGAAACAGCAACATATCATTGCCTTCTGCTTGGCTGCCTGCTTTCCATTGGAGAGGATTTGTTTATTTCAAAATACTTTTATTTCCTGGTGATTTTTTAAGTTCATTTTCTTTCCTTTGCATCTCAGCTAATATCTTTTGCATCTTTTCCTTTGTTTTTTTTTCTTTGCATTCTGTCAGATAAATTTTCCTCTCATATAAGCTTTATTTGCATCCCAAGCTATTGTTGTTTCTGTCCCTTTATTCAAATTAAGTCCATTGGAGAGGATTCATGGCTCATGTTTCCTAGCTCCCAAAGCTTATTCTAGTAGTACATTGGAATTAGGAAAGAAGTCTAGATTTGCTGACATGCCAATATTAGGAGTTTTATGGGTAGGCAATAAAACTTCATGTCACCACTGGGAAACAGAAGGTTTTGAATTTATATTTTTTAAGAATCCACCTCCTTATGTATAGCTTCCTCTCAAATTGCCTCTGGCATTTTATTACAAACCAGAAGACAAATATTCACAAAGAAGTGCATTTGGAAGCATATGAACCAACAGCAAAGCACAATGCTAACAATTTATTTTATTTTCTATATTTGAAGAGAGGGAGAGATTTTTTTGAAGACATAGACAGTGAAACTTGAGGGCACAAGCTCAGGAACTTTGTTATTGGCTAGCTTGAAACAAGAGCAAAAAAGCATTGATTGGCTGACAGTTCTCTGTACTCAGCTGCTGGCTGGAATGGACAAACAATGATTGGCAGATGGTTTTCTTTCAGTTTATAGACTTGCACATTAATAATCATGACTATGTTCCTAACATCTTGACAAATCTGCAAATAGAAAAACTGGATAAATGCGAGGTACAGTCGTATCTCCATTTTGGCTTTCTTTTTGTAAAATAAATGATGACATGGTGTAATATGTCATGTGTTGTT